TTTAACGATGTTAGAACACTTAGCCCACCTGGTTTAGCCGCGCGCCAAAGATCGAGTGTATAACATGTTAATAACATATAACGTTTTGCCGTGGCTTATTGTATGTTGGTCTACCCTCTATCACCTAATGCCGTACCTTAGTGATGATCTTCTTTGTACTAAAATTTAACATTTACATTATGAGCTCGAGATTACTATCGCAGCCCGAATCAGCGATCACGCATAGAAATCGAGAGCGAGCTTCCTACTTGTTTTAGTATAAATCTACTGGTCGTTCAAACTAAACAAGTAAATTGTCTAAATCGATCCTCCTCGCGGACACTTCGAAAACGCGAAGAAGCGGCCGCCTTTTTATTTGCAACCGCTACGGCACTGATTTACAACAGAATACATAGCGAGTAGCTAGCCAATAAGGGAACGCCATTTATGATAAAACGCTAGTAGATTTATATTAAATTACGATAGAAACTTAGGGTCATTATGTGAATTTTCTTAAAGAATCATACATAGATCTCGACCATTTCTCTATTTGTCAAGTCAAACTCTATGTTAGTATTTTAGTCATTAGTTATTTTATTTATTAGATTTTATGTATACTATAATGAGGGCCACTAGTTTAACAGTTTTAACCGTAAAGTGTTTTAACCCTCGTTAAATAAAGTTATCTTCTTCTTCCACTTTGCATCGCGCATCCTTGCTGCCCATAATTTATGGCGTCATTTAGCGCGCGCTCGTGCACGTGCATATTTAAAACATGGCAGATTTGCCTTGATATTGAGCTCTGTCAGTTGAAAAATGGCTCTAGCTCACCAACGAGCACGGGGACCCCACCTTTTTCCACTCATTGTAATCAACTAATCATAAGCTTTGCGCGAGAAAAGTCTGATCTGATTCCTATTGCTGAAAATTGAATAAATAAGGAAATAGCACATACATTGTGGTTCTTACCACGTTTTGACGTCCTCCGTGTGTTGATAGAGTACACACACACTGCCATATTGAATCTTCTTGTTTCATACATTGCTTTTTTCCCGCCTTTCTTCGGCTCATGACGTCATTCGTGCGTCCGTGCTAAAATCCCCTATTTTTCCTCTAGACGAATCAAAACGCGAGGTTTGCACCGTCCATTGTATAATTCGAAGTACTATAAGCAATCAGCTGTCAAGTTGTTCACATCCCGTCTAGTAACAACGAGACTCCTGTTGTGACCCTATACATGCGCGCCTCCCAACTCCCTTTCCCTACTTTATAGGACTCAAAATGCAATGTTTTGTGTTGAACTGCAATAGATTAGAGGCTCACGCAAGTTCATCGAATTCCATCAACAGTACATTTTTTTTATTTACCTCCACAATTTTACAGTAGATTTAAAGAGAATTAAATAAGTAATAATAAGAGGAAAAAGGGTAAATTGCACATGCCTTTTTCAAAATGTAGTGTCCTCTTGTACTAGACCAGGTTTTCTGAAAAATACTTTTAAACATGAGCCGTCTCACCCTACCCTCCTAAGAATTGGTAAAGCCTTTGAAAAGTTGGCGTTAAAGAAAACGCGGGGCAGGCCTCTTTCAACTGACGTCTGAATCTTTTCTTGGTCAACAAAAAGGTTTGTTTTATTGCCGTTGTCTTTCTTGCACTATTTGATGTAATAAACTCCCCAAGATCAAAACTTCTGTGGTTTTAATTACTTAAGGAATACAAAGTTGAGTTCCGTTTGTTCGAACGACCAGAAACTGATGGAAAAGAATAACTACTGTTGACGCACTGTGTGCGGCAAAGGTTTGTCAACAGGAATTTTGACTACGTTTTGAGATTCTAACAACACAGGATTGTTAAGCTACAAGTCTAAAAGTCTGTCAAATAACAAAAGGCATATATAGAGCCCATTCAAGTCTTCAGATTCCACGAGCAACTTTTCAACTTTTTTTCGAGCTATTTTTTTAAACAAATTCCCCCTTCAATTTATGTAGTATAGTTAGGGTTCCTCTTTTCCTGTTTGGAGTGAATGGTCGCAAAATTCAATTCCATCCTTGTATCATTCCTTCCATTTTCGGTCTTCTTTCAAATAGCCCACCAAAAATAGCCCACCAGAAATAGTCCACCAGATATCTCTCAATTTGCGCTTCTTATCAGTCAATTACTGTTTTCTCTTACCACAATATCACATATGGCTCGCTAAAACAAAAGACGATCATCCAAATCTTACGCATTTCATGTGCACACTAAAATCACAATATGAAATAGAAATTAAAAAGTGGAGAAACAAAGAAATGGAAACCTCTTGCAGGATATATGAGGATTTAATTAATATTTTAGATTATATTTTCTGAACCTATCTGTATTTACATGTATCTCATACCCATTTGTCTATTTCTAATCTCCTGTCAGGTGTATAGCTAATTTTATCTATAATGTGCCACGTGCCTTTGGTCTGTTTTTGATGTTCCTATCGTACAACCTAAAGCTGTAATGATAATTATCTATTTTTCTCCTTTATTTTTCTTTTTCCCTGGTCGTTACTGTATTTGTTAGTACAAAGTAAACATGACAGCCAGAAATGTTTCTGTTCGGTAAATACCTACAATGACGCTTGTTACGTTATGAGGCGGTGGAGCAATAAAGACCCTTGTGTCAGGCTTTTCTTTGCCGGGTCCTTCATCCTCCTACCCCGCGAGTAAGAAAAGCCTGATACTTAGGCTACTTCAAAGATGAGTACTGACATGGCGAAAT